ATAACACACAGTTTCTCTTATGTGAGAAATCTAAAATATAAAGAGCAAAATAAAAGATACAGGTAATAGGAAGACAGATCTTTCACAAACAGAAAGCAGGTCAGGAGATGGGGGAAGAGGGAGGGAGCAAGGGGACAGGGAACGAGAAGAGGGATAAAGATGAGCTCCGTATGCATACCAACTCCATATCAGGACTCTAAGCATCACGTCTCTTTGCACAAAACCCCGCCAATAGTAAGAAAATCTTTGATCAAGTTTTACACATACAAAACTAATCTTAACAACGTAAAGCAATCTGCTTTTCAATTAAGTTTATGCATGAGCACACTACATAATCATTACTGAAGATGCCAGGAGAAGGAAGGTACTCAGCTTGAAAAGTTTTGTTACAGCAACCTGTAGAGTCCTTCTTCTACAAGTAGTATTTTCTTCTTTTTTTTTTTTTTTTTTTTTTTTTTTTGTGTGTGTGTGTGTGTGTGTGTATGCGTGTATGTTATGCTAGAGATTGAACCCAGGACCTTATGCATGCAAAGCAAGAGTTCTTTTTTATTTGTTTGTTTGTTTGTTTGTTTGTTTGTTTGTGGTGGAACCAGGGATTCATCTCAGGTCCTTGAGTTCTACTGAGCCATCTCCCTGGCCCCAACCTGTAGAGTCCTGCCATATTATTTTTACATGTGTGACCTTCAAACTATGGGTGCCATGTGCAGGGAATCCATACTTTCACTGGGTATCCTGCTGAGATTGTGATCTTCCACCTATAAGGTTGACTTTGAGTGAAGCAGGTTCTGCTTTGCTTGAATGAGCACCCTTTCACATCTCTATCCGAATGACAGTGATCGCACGTGGTAACACAAATTCTAAAGTGAAATAATTCCAGGTTTTATGTTTCAAGTTTTAAAATGTCAAAAGTTGTGAATTCTTTTTTTTTTTTCTGACAAGAATTCTTAAGAGCCATTTTAGAAAAGAAACATCTCAAATGAAGATTATTCATTCTGCTACAGCAAACTATTTGATATTTAATGAACAAGGAAATTAACCATGGAAAATAAAAATCATAGTTAATATTTTGTAGCAAAATACAGTATATGAATAAAAGGTTTTTCTATCGTATTTAGGAAGTCCATAGAGAGTGAAGTCAAATGTAAATTTCATCCTACTGAAGTTAAAGTTATGTTTATGCAATTAGGAAGACAATTTTGGTTTTAAAAAGTTTTGAATTTATTTTTTTTTATTGGGGGAGGGGTACTGGGAATTCAGTTTAGGACCTCACACTTGCCAGGCAGGTGCTGCACCACTGGGCCAAATTCCTGGCTTAGAAAGATAATTCTTAACTCTCATACATAGGTTTCAATAGAAAAGGAACAAGCTATTTCAAATAAATTCATTCTTCTTTCTTAAAGGTCAGGTGGTGTCATATGCTTTATACATACAAACTATAAAAGTAAATTACAGTACTTTAAAAATCTGTCTACACCAGAAATGCAAGTTGCCAGGTTTCCACAATGAAAAACTACTCTCATGTGCTACCTGAGCACAGCAGAAGACTTGCTGCAGGGTCTGTTCTTTGTGTCACTAATACAAGTCCATATGGGGGGACCTACAATTCGATGGTGGAAGAAAAGACGATTACATTTTTATATTTTTATTAAATTGTTGTTGGGTAAGCAATTTTTAAAAAGAAATATAAAAGAGGGAGAAGGAATAATTCTTTATATCACGCCTTTAAGATTTAAGAATATTTTCACTTTAAAAGCTCACGTTTTAGTTTTCAGGAATGTTTGCTTTTCAAAAATATTTAAATGACTTTTTTTCAGCAACCTATTTTCTGGCTGTGTAATTAGATATACCAAGATTCTTCAGAGGAGAAAATAATCAAGCATCAAAGATGAGTACCAGATTTATACTGAAGAGTTTTTGTAAGTTTTTCAAAGCCTGAAGAGGTTGTTATTATCATGCCTCTTGACTTAATTCACTTGGAAGCCAGGAATCAGAACTCTAATACAAATATAAATGAAAGGGCCAGCAAGATAGCTCAGCAGATTAAGCACCTGCGTAGGCAAGCTCAGAGACCAGGGTCTGATCCTTGGCACCACATACTGCGCTGGCCCTGCCCCTAAATGCACTAAGCCCACCACCAAGACCTAGCATGCTGGTGCTCGCCTGTAATCCCAGCACTGGGAAAGCTGTAAACAGGAGGGTCACTATGAGTTCAAGTTGCATAGTGAGACCCTGCACCAGGTATATATGAACAATGATGGAACTGGAATGCCTTCCATATGGATATTAAATGAACTTCTATAGTTCCAGAATAATCTTCCATGAACGTTTTTTCTTTGAAAACTTCAATTATGGGGGCCGGGGAGATGGATCAGTAGAATAAACGCTTGCCTGGCAAGCACAAGTGCCTGAATTCAAACCCCGGTTCTGCCAAAAACAAACAAACAAAAAAAAAAACTTCAATTATGGTAATACACTTATGAATCAAATACAGAGTAAAATAATTGTAATATAAGCAAGAAAGTAGTAGCAAAAGTTAATAGGTTAATTTATTATTCTACAGAATCCAGTGCTTATAATGTCTTCTCAGGTTTTCAAGAAAACTTGCAAAACTTAGTGAAGAAGTTTTTCATCACTGCATTTCTTTATAAAATAATAAACATCAAGATGAAAGAATTATTCTTTCTGAAATTTAACAGTAAGTCAAGAACTTTCCTTAAAACCAATCTTAAAGGGGCCAGGGAGATGGCTCAGTGGAATAAGCACTTCCCTGGCAAGTGCAAGGGCCTGAGTTCAATCCCCGGTTCCACCAAAAAAAAAAAAAAAAAAAAAAAAAAAAAAAAAATCTTAGGAAATACTATTCAATATCATGAGTTTCTTATTCCAAAAGTCTAAGTACCAATGTTAAAATCTCAGAGGTAGTTGAGTAAAATGGCCCTTATGTGATACAACTACATGTAAAGAATCACTAAAGGGCTTTTAAGTGCCATTAAAAATGTTCAGAACTAATACAATTGTTTTTGAACAACTTTTAAGTTTCTGTGACAATCAAAAAAATTTCATTTCTTTGAGAGCAAAGATACTAACTAGCTTTCTATAATTTTCACAAAAATACTGTCTCTCTGAACACGGTTTCTATGTACTAAAGATTTAGTTGGATAATTTTGGTCAGGCTTCTTTGAAAATATATAAAATTTGTATATGAGAATAATTAATATGTCTTTCAGTAAGTTGAAATCTAGTTTTAAAAAGGAGCGAGAGGAAAAAAGAACAAATATCAGTAAACATTTCTGAATGGCATCTCATGAGAAACTAATGAGATGGAGACGGGACAGGGCGAGAGGTAGGAAGTAATAGTTAAAATAGCTAAGGAACAAATAGTTAAAATGAAGACATTTCAGTAAAGATAAAACCTGAAATCCAAATAGTGAAATAGTAAAATAAAAAGAAAATTATGAAGTCCAGGGATATAGCTTAGAGGCACAACACCTGCCTGGCAAGTGCAGGGTCTTGAGTTTGATTCCCACTACAAAAAAAAAAGGAAATTATGCAATCAATAGGCAAAACACCTTTACTACAATTAATGCAACTCATACACACATACACTGTCTCATATTCAAATTCACAGACATCAATACCAAATATAGATTGGGAGAACTATTAAAAGACAAGTTATCACTTTTGCATAATTCTTCCAGGAAACATGCATTTATTAAACATTTTAAATAAAAATTCATGATTACATCAAATCATCAACTTCTAAGTTGTGTATGATTCAGAAAATCTGAGAACAGATTTAGATTTGCAGACAGTCACATTTACTCCGTTTTTCAGAGTCATGGTTTATGTCAAGTGCAGCGCATCTGGTATTAGGATGCCAGCCTGACACTCCCTCTAAGACCAGTGCAGGTGGAGAGACGCCTCAAGGTGCCTTTCAGCCAGAGGATTTGCCAGCGAAAAGCCACCATGCTCAGAAACAACACAACGCTACACTTTAAGCTTTCAGATACCTTAGAACACCACATGCATCATGACAAGTGTTTTTCCCTTCTGCCTAGACTTAATGAAGCAAGAACAAGCAGGCTTTTGAATCAGGGCTCCACATTACTGGCTTGCTGAGAGATTTATACTTAACTGCAGTTTGGCTCTCTTAACTATGTGATTCCTGGGCTATAAGCATCCACCAACTGACAGAAATAACAGGAGTTGTGAAAAATGCAACAATACTAAAAACAGATGTCAGTATAAAATTCCAGGGCCTCTTATTTGTTCGCTTTGTTTTTTAATGTACAAAATCTCTGCTTAAAACAAAGAAAGGGCTTTTAAAAAATTCTTAAAAGACCTACAACCATGAAAGATTTGGGGAAATGAAGCAGAAACTGATGAGATGGAGACTGGACAGGGCGACAGGTAAAGAGGAGCAGAAAGAAGAGCAAGGGGAAGAAAAAACAATGCACCTACGTCCACGCTGGATTTCAGTGTTTCCTTTTTCTTACTCTCATTTTCTTTCAATTTAATCTGGTGATAACTCCAAACAGATGGAATAAACACCAAAGTTACTATGATTTGTGGAAAACAAAGAAATTAAGAAGTGCAATTGTTCTTAGGCACAAATGCTTTTGTGTTTCAGAAAGTGATGGATTCTGTCCCCCTAATCTTTACCAAGAAACATCCGACCCAAGCAAGCCTCTTTCTTGGCTTTGGAGAAAGAAGAACTACATTCTTTACAAAATGCCTAAACTTGGAAATCAAAGAGAGAGATAGCTTTTGTTACTTTGTTAAAGAGTGAGCCATGGTTTTATTATAAACATCTCCTCAGTCATCCTTTTCTTCAAAAGAGTCACATTAGTATTCCTACTGCAGATTTCTTAACGTGTTTCATTCCTGAGAAACGAGGACCCAGAAGCAAGACGATAGGATCCCTTCTTCCACGAGCACCTGCTTTAATAGTCAGAAATGAACAGCAGGATTTGGTTACTCTGCATTCTTACTAACAAACTTACATGATTTCCTGTTGGAAACTTTCAGAGGCTGCACCAGTATTTCTGGTCGTCGCAGGGCCAGTCTCCTGGGGGAATAAAAGGTCAATAAGCCTATCAATTTTCAGCACTGGTTTCAGGTCAACACAGTAGTAAAATATCAAAAATCTGAAGAAAAAACTTGAAAGCAGGGGGTCAGGGGATGAGCATATTATATAATCTATTCAAATGAAGAGATAAATTTTCTTTTCAAATTTTTGGAAATTATATGTGCCCCCTCAAATGACTGCTCTTCTCCTCCCTTTTACTCCAATACAGATTCTAATACTAAAGTGCTGTTTTCCATTTGCCTCATAACAAAAACCTAAGATGACCTGGTACTGTCATGTTATTTTTGGTCATTATTCATGCCTAGTTAGACAAAATAGAAACCCAAGCCCATGGGATAATGAATTCTAAGGCAGGCTTTTAGGGCTTATTTTATCACAACCACACCAGAATGGCATTTTGCAGAGAACAAAAGGTCAGCTGAAGAGAGGCCAGTGCCCTGTGCCAGCCGCTCACCTCTCCTGGAAGTGCTTTGAGGGAATCAGGCCTGCTCTGGGGTTGGCGTCCTCTTCATGCTTTGCCTGCCACCAGGTCGCATCATCTTGGCTCATGATCTGGAGAATCTCTCCCCTTTTAAAAGAAAGCCCAGCTTCCTTACATGGAATTGCCTTGTCCTCGTTAGGATCATAGTCAAAAAGGGCTCTGAGAAACATCTGGAAGAAAGGTTCATTGAAGAATGAATGTAAAAATAAATGTGAAGTGGCCTACATTCTTGTAATTTAGATTGAAGAAATGATTACTTAAAAAACTAGAACGTGTGCCTAAGAATTAGATTTAAAAAACAGCACTCCCACGCATAAGAGTATTTTAAAGAAATGATTACCTTGCCTTCTTTAGATGGAGTCTCCTCCTTGATGCTGGGAATGATCTTAAACGTAATCGCTCCCTGAGACTGAGCCTGATAACAGAAGAAAGCAAAAGGTGTTGAATCTGGAGTCAAAGAATGTAAGATAAAATAGCTAGGAAGCTAAAAATTTACACGCTGAAGACTACAACTCTTTGACAAAACTGAGCAAACTATTTTTGTAGAAAATATTCTGGTAATATGAGAAAACTTTAAAAAGTTTGTCAAGCAAGTTAAAAAAAATTAAATATACTTTTACTTACTCCCCATGCACTTTTATTTATTTATTTATTTATTTATTTATTTATTTATTTAGATGCCAGGAAGGGAACTCAGGACCTTATGCATGCTAGGCAGCCACTTGTGCTGCTGAGCTATAGCCCTGGCCCTCCCTGTGTACTTTCAATATGTCAAAGAATATACTGTCATCCATGTCAATTCAAAATAGGAATACAAAATATTAACAATGCCTTAAATACATAAAAAATTAAATGACTAGAATAAATAACATGAAAGTTCAGGGTTTTGTACTATTTGCACTATTGTAACATTTATAAGCATCCATGCTTTTTAAGATAAAATACCTATACTGTCAGCACTATGGTTATAAATACATGAAATATGTGATCTGTTTGCTGCAATGCCCATCAGAATTAAAAAAAATTCACATCTGATGTATTATTCTGGTTAGTGAATAAAATATGTATTCTGGTTAGTGAATATAAAACGTCTGTTCATCTTTGAAGGGATATGTAACTAAGTTAGTTACAATTTTTAAAAGTCTGACTATACATTATAGCTATAAAAATTGTGTGTACATTTTACAGTGTATATTTTGAGATTTTTGGAACTTACATATTGCAAATACATATATATTGGAAACTTATTTTGTGTGTGTGGTATACAATAGAGACTGTCCTTTTTCTTATTCAATCAAATGAATACAGCACCATTTCTGAAATGGTTCCATGGTCATTCCACTAATTTTAAAATGCAGGTAGGTGGATGGGTGGACAGACAGATGATGTGGGGGAAGAAAAGGGAAAAGGATGCTTTCTGTGTGGCACAGGGAGAGACAGAGGCTTAATTACAGCTCCTGGGGTGAGCTCAAGACCAGACACTAAAGGCAGCAGCATGTAGCTAGCTGGGGAAACGGCTGATGGAAAACGTCCCTACAATTTTTCTTGTTGAAACAATAATTTCTGTGGAGGTCTTGTCACACATTCTACCATTATTCCTATATAACCCTATATAATTCTTCCCCTCTTTTGCAAAATTTAAATTTACATGATTAATTGACAGATAAGGATATAAGCAAGTGTACATATTTATAGGACATCATGTGATGTTTCAGAGTATTTTTATACTGTGTAACATTCAAAGCAGGTTATGCATATCTCCTCAAACATTTACTACTTCTTTCAAGTGTTCCTTCAAACTCCTTTCTTTCAGATTTTGAAGTATAGAACACTGTCATTATTTGCATTACCTACTGTGCAATAACACATTAACATATCGCACTTCTGTCTCACTGTATCTTGTTCCTGGTAACCAACCTTGCCACAGTCCCCCCACCCCTCTGTGATGCCACCTCAATCATACACTGATTTACTTTTCTTTTGGGGGGTATGTACTTTTTTATCCTAAACAGAAAAAACAAAAGCAATGATATGGAATTTTAAAACAAGATGAGACTAATTATGACTAATATAATGTGTATTATCCTCCAAGTAGTTGCTTATATTAGAAAATACAGGCATGAAAAATTGATCAAACAATGTAAGCATAATCCATTCTTTTCAATGAACTAATAAATTCATATAATTATCTTAGCTGTCTTGTGTGTATGTGTGTGTATTATTTTTCCTTTCCCTTTTTTCTTTTCTCCTTTCCCCGTCCCAATTGTACTTTCCATTTGAGCAGTTGCTTCCCCTCTCACAATATGTATTGTACATTTTGGATCTTATTTATTCTTTCAGTTTCTTACACTAGGGACACAACTCAATGCTTCCATATGCAAGTCCAATTTATGAACATTGTCTCAAGATGCATCCATTTACCTATAAAAGTCTAGAGTTTATCTACCTGTATAGCTACATAGCACTCCATTGTATAAAAATACATCTTTTTTATATCTATTCCTCAGTTGATGAGCATTTATTTGGGTTATATGCAAGATTAAGCTATTATAAATTGTGATACCATGGGGGCCAGGGAGATAGTTCAGTAGAATAAGCGCATGCCTGGCAAGCGCAGGGTCCTAAGTTCAATCCCCAGTACCATAAAAATAAATAAATAAATAAATAAATAAATATAAAAATAAATTGTGATACCATAAACATAGGTGCTGTAGTATGTTTTTACTTGT